TTAAATTGCCTGGCCAGAAGGCCTTCGACAACAGAAACATATTCCTGATCAATGAAAAGCGTATTTCGAAGTGGAACGCGAACAATAGAGAAATAACAAGAGCGCTGCAATTATTATGTAAATTGAGAAAGCAAAGGGGTACGCGTGGCTCGAATAAATATTATCGATCGGTCCTCGGGTAATTGGGCAATAAAAAGCAGATTTTTAAGTTACTCGTATATCAAAATTCCTTTTGCAATAATACTTGATCAAACGCCCCAAGCGGTAAACAACGGTCGTTATCCAGCCAAGTTCCTAGCCATGCGAGCAAACTCGTCCAAGAATGATTAACCGTTCTCAGTCAACACGTCATTCCTTCACGATTCGATGAATTCAGCCTGGTTCAGGGCTGCTGTGATCAGCCGGGCCGTTAACACAGTCAGATAGGGCTGTTGACGCGTCTTAATGTTGTTCGCCGGAATTGAAAACGGTCTCGAAATAGGGAGGGGTCAAAGAGCGAAGGAAATCCACGGCGATGGAACGAGGAAGAGTAAGTCGAATTCAAAGGGGAAGACGAGGGCTGATAACGACGACAGAGACGGGAAAAATGTTAGAGAAAAGATGGAGGAGGAACGAGGAGGAGTGGAGGTTCGGGAGCTCGATTATGTGATATAAAGTTGCCGAGCGAAGGGGGATAAGGAAGGAGGGCCAAAGAGAGATACACCCCCGTTGATTGAGCCGCCACCTTCAACGCGCCGTGAACACATGTGCTGGTGGCAACACTCTGATTGGAAGCCAGATGGGCTCTTCAGCCTCTTACCTCGGCGAGGGCGCGCTCTTCTGTTTCCTTCGCCCAGCTTCCGTCTCGCTCTTCTTCGACACCTGAAACACAACCCTCTTTCGTAAAGTACCTTTCGACGGAGCCCGGGATGACTATCGAGCCGTGGCCGCTGACTCGTCTCCACGGCATTGAATTGAAACGAACCGGAGATAATAGCGAAAAAGAAGTAAATAAACTTGCCGGATTTCGCCGCGGCGTGGAAGAAGCCCGGCTTAAAACTAATCGGCATAAAACTAACATTTATCTAGCGTTCCCGATACAGCGGGGACGATTCAAACGGATTGGATCCAGAGTCCTGTCGTCAAATTCATACCCGCGCGGCAGCTTTGATTTTAGTTCGCGGAAAAGTTTTGAAAGGACTTCGGGGGAAACGTTGCTCGTTCTATTCAGATTCTTCCAAGTTTAAACGTGGCCATAGGAAGTGGCATCGGGTGAAAAGCTGAACGCGGAACGGCCCATCTAAAGGATCATTCGCGGGAATTCCGGGTATTTTACATTAATAGGATTTTGAAAGTTTACAATGCCACTTGAGTATTCTTTCCGCGCGGGTTCGCCGCCAGAGTTAGAATACATTAACGTATTTTTTACGGTGTCCAACTCTCCCCCGTCCCCCCGTCGCGAGAAGTAAAACTGTTTCGGTACAAGGGATCTTCCAGTCTCGCCTTTATCCCGTTTACATTCGTATAGTCTTCAATTAGGGCGAAAGTAACCGGTCACGCGATAGGGAAGAGCGTTAAAATAGAGACGCGACGAGACAACGGATAGTTCAACGAGCGCAAATGAAACAGAAGTGACATAATAAAAGGCCGCGAGGGAGAGATAAAACGGCAAGCGTGGTAATACGGAAGGAAATGTTGCCCTGTAAACTGCCACATTTTTCGCTGCATGGTTTTACATCGTATTTTCCACTTCTTGTTTCTATTTTTGCCCCGTTTCGTGCACACCGTTTTCCCTCTCGTTGTTTCCTTTTTGTCGTCCGGGGCAGGGTCATTCGTTATTTTCGTTCATCGGACATGCAATATTTTCGGACAGTTGTTCGCGAAATAATAATAACTGTTCGAACGACGGGAAGGAAAAGGCAACGGGTGTTAGCAACGGAATCGAAATAAAGAGAACGGACAATGAGTTTTCGACGATCGTTTTGAAGAGGAGATGAACGAAGAGGGGACAGGGAAAGAAAGAGGAATCTTTTAGCTTTGTCGCTGGTTTCGACACCAATTAGATATCACGCAGGAATAAGAAACCCTTTAACGAAGCGTAGTTTCCGACAAGTAGTCGCTTCGCCCGATGATTACTGTAGTTTATTTTGCTCGAATCTGCCAGTGGCACTTATCATGAAATGGTTTCTTTTATACTGTACCGACCAGAAGCGCTAATTAGAGCGTCCGCTAACTGGAACGTTTGTGGTACTCTGCAGGGAAAATGGCAGGCGGGGATTTTCTGTCTTTAACAGGGACGTGGTGATGCTTGACTTTATACTGTTGCGACTCGTTAAAGTTGCCGCGGCATTGTTGCGACTCTGATTTCGTAAATTCAACGATCACAATAGAAGATAATCGTGCGAATGATTAAAATATTGTTCCGGACAGGTTGTCCAGAGTAACAAGGGACAACGATTCCTCCGATTTTTAATAAGATGTTGCATAGTGAGCTACTTTTATTTATTCACACAGATAATTAAGTTAGAATTGTAGGATGTTCGTTCGTTCTAATCTACGAACATGAATTCCATAGAAAATTTATGGGATAAATTAGCGCGACGAATTACAAAAACGACGATGTCTTCAAAGGAAATGCTGAAATAGTGATGGAGAAGTAATGAAACAGAATATTTAAAAAATTATTTGCGACCTGTCTCGGCGTTTGAAAGAGCTCGTTCGAAAAAGCATATTAATTTTTCCTGCAATCTGACTCGGTTCTTTCTACAACCGCAAGCCACCACAATGCCATCAGTGTGAAATCACAATGATATCTCATGGATCTTTCCTTGTTTTTAGGTGAGAAGAAACGGGGAAAGGTGTATCGATCGCGTGTGAGATCGGAATCCTGGCCATCAGACTTATTATCCTGCGGACGTCGCGATCAGAGAAAGAGCGTCCGAACGGTGTACACAATGGCAACGTCAGTAGGTTTACAGGCTGAAGGTAAGTGAGCTTGTTAGGTCGGGTGGATGAGTTCGAAGGTTTCCACGGCTGAAGAAGGGACGGGGGGGAGGACAGAAAGGAAGCAGGGGCTTCCAGTCAGGACATGAGGGACAGTTCACCGGCTTTACCCGCCGGCAGTCCCCAGAGGTGGCAGTCCCGTTGCAAGCTGAACCTAGTCTGTGGTTGCTGGCTTGTTAGATCCAGTTTGGGGTTGGTACGGTCTGAAGAGGGGGTTGCCCAGAGGAGGGCGCCACTCTTCAGTAGACCGCAATCGGGTATGCAATTTACGTGGTGTCCGACCTCTGCGACCTCTGCCCCCATCCCCCTTATCCCACCGGCCGTACTCACGTCCCAGCCACGGCGTCCTCTCGTCCCCTTCGCCTTCTAGCCGCCACCTCATTTCTCCCTACCCCGCGTTTCTCCAGGATTCGCACCCGTGTGCAAAACGAAGGATTCCAGGTATGAGGCTACGAGTTGCTGCTCCTCCACGTTCGATACGCAACAGTGGAGACGTCGTGTGTGGGCGGCGAGTAGTCCTCGCTACCAGCTGAATATTGGCGGCTGCGGGGACGATTGGTCGAGGGGTGAGAAGGGTGCGGATATGGCGGAAGAAGGAAAGCCGATGGCTGTCGCGAGCAGAAGCTCCGACGGCGGAGTCAGGGTAGGACTGGTTTCTTCCAACGAGAACGATGTAAGATTTCTCGTGGCCGAGGGTTTACGAACGCGCCCCGGTAATGACGCGCAGGAAATTGGAAGTAGCAAAGGATTGAAATTGGTCGAGCATACGAACCAACAATTTGTCCGGAGACCTACGTGAAACGTTCCCCGGCACGTCTCTATTTCTCGTCGTTTCCTTCATTTTCACTTCTTTGCTTTTCACTAACATTTATGATAACGTTTTATGATTCCAAAACGTTAATGTTTTCACCAAGTCTCGCGTCTCGAATCTTTTTGTCAGGTCTTGTAGATAACTAGACGTTCCAAAAAAATTGTGTTTATTTTCTCGATGTTAAGGTAGCGTAGATGCCCGAAGAATGTAGTTCTCGATCAATAAAGCTGAGAGTTGCAAGTAATCCGAGGCACCAGGTGTTATAGAGGTCTCAGGTTGTTCGACACGTTCCAATGCAAATGTCAGGTTGAGCGTTCCGACCTCGCGTAATGCGCATGTTAATCGGCCGAGGCAACGTCGAGCAACGGTACCAACGGCATAATTCGCTCAATTTACAAGCCTTATCACAACCGTTGCATTTAATCGCCGAGAATTAGGTTATACCGTCCGCCTGACGTTGCCACCTTAACAGATCGTTGTTTCCAAAACGAATTTCCATACAATAAAAGTCTGTTCCTGGACAAACTTCGAAACTTTCGTTTCCAATTTATAATCGGCAATCGATCGTATAGGACTGATAGGTGTTTCTAAAATCTTTGCCAAACGTGTCTTGTTGCTGGAAAATAAAATAAAAATGATTAACAAACGTGGTTCGTGGACACCCTGTATAATCTGGAGTTAAATAAACTCTTCGGGAATACAATTTTAGTTCCGTTTGAAGTGGAGTACATTGAAGGGCAATTACACTGCTTACTAGACCGTGTCTCTGGTTACATTTGCAAACAACGCTGAATACTGTCAAACGGAATGACAGTCGTTCACGTTGGCTGCCATCTGTTTCATCGTTACAATCGCCCATTTCAAACTATTCAAAATAAACTGATGGATTGAAAATTCCAGAGAAACAACGAACAACTGGTGAGTGACAAGCGTTGCGCTGCAATTACCGAACATTTTATTTAAATACGGGTAAAAGCTTGACAAGATGTGTGTCTTTACGATTCGTGGGAAATAAGTGCGTCGTGTGATAGTGAATACTTAAAGAGGAAACGCGGGGAGGTATACTCGATTTATAAGATTTTAGAAGTTTTTCTTAGAATGCTCCAAGTACTTGTCCAACTTGGAATCTTTTTCGACGAAACGAGAAGAAGTTAGGGAATCGAAGAAATCTAATTTCAACGGAGTAGAATAACCGAGGAATGTCAAAATGGGTAAAATGCAGGTAACGCTATGAGAATTCTTCTTCTTACATCGTAAACGATAGAACTTAAAATTAAATTAAAAATGGTGTTTTAAATTGCAAGATGTACAAATCAAATTGTCGATTAAATATGATTTTTAGCACATTGTCGCCTACATAAGTGGTGGCGCGAACGGTATCGGAAAGGCTATCGCCGAGAAAATTCTTTCTCAAGGTGGCAAAGTGGTGTTAGCCGATATATCTTGCAATGGAGTTAAAGTTGCGGAGAAAATGGGCGAGAAAGCTTTATTTTCGTGTACCGACGTAAGTTGAGTCCCCCGCAAAATTTCGATCCATTTCGTTCGTGCGAATAAACCTGTCCGTTCTATCGAATAAAGTATTAGGTTGGCCGATAAGTATCGTTGGATTTCTGCTGTGGATGTCGCTTTTTTATTTTTTTTCTCCCAACGAAAGTTATCGAAAACTAATATAACCTTGAATATTAGAGCTAAAGAACGAGTAAACTATTGTTGGCAGTAAAGGAATTATTCGACAGGTTAGAAACGAGAAAGACGTGCAGGAAAGCATAAAATGCGCGAAAGATAAATTCGGCGGGGTGAACGTGCTAATTAACGCCGCGGCTGTTCTTGGGGCCGAATCGTTGTACGATTTCAAGAACAAAAAGCCCCATTCGGTCGACCTGTACAGGTGCCTATTCGATACCAACGTCTGGGGTGTATTTAACGTGACGCGTTTAATGGTCGGCATGATGGCGGAAAACAAACCAGATGCGCATCGACACAGAGGCGTTATTATCAATCTTTCAAACGCGATGGCGACCGACTCGCCACCAGGATATGTCGCCTACGGTGCCACAGGCGCAGCGGTCGCTGGAATGACGATACCTTTCGCCAGAGGACTCGCACAAAGAGGAATACGTGTCGTTGGTATATGCCCCGGTTTCATTGACAGCCCCATGACAGGTAAATCGATGCAACGAAGGTTCAGGTTTTCGAATCCCGTGTCGCTAAATACGAGGGTCGTTCGTTGCAATTCATTTTGTGATTTGAAATTAAATATCCGTGTTTTATTTCTTTTTATTCGAATCTTCGATTGAAATCTTTGTTTACGTTCAGCCGCGATGAAACCGGAAGAGAAGAAATGTTGCATCGAAATGAAACTGACACCAAGACGTTTCGGTAGTTGCGAAGAAGTCGCCCATTTGATCCAAGCTTGCATCGAGAATCCATTGATCAACGGTGAGAATATCCGTATCGATATGGGCTTCAGATACAACCAAATACCTGACGGCCAGCAGGAAAATTCGAAGTGTTAGTTTATCGCTTCTCGTGCAAATGAAATGTACCTAGTTGCCTCTGCGCGTGATAGCAGCAATGATGTCGTTGAACGATCGTATGTTTTATGTCATCGCAACGACGAGAATTTATGTAATTGCACGAACAAAATAAGCGACATAATATATGTATATGTATAATTATTTATAATTACACTTATAGAATATAAAAAAACAAATTTCACTACATTAATAATAAGGTTGCTGAATTTGTTCCTTTATACTCCATAAACAGAAAGAATTGGCCTCAAGAAAATATCTTAATATATAAATAGTATTTATATGTTTGCGTACCGTAATGCTTTTAGCAGAAAATTTGTAAAGTATCGGACTTGAAAAGAAAATATAGAAAGAAAGAGAAACTAGACAGACCCGTTAATATCGATCCGTCAAAAAATTCGGATAAAGATATTGCGATAAAAATGACGGCTGTGGTAACCGTGGAGAGACGCGATCAGCCAGCGGGTTCTCGAGCACGTCTTGAAGACGGCGTCATCAACGACGACGTGCAACCGCACCGCCACCTACTTTCTCCCGGATGAAATTTATGTATGGAAATATCCGCGCGAGCATTACGCATGTAGAATATCACGACCAGCAGCTGGAGGCCCTCCCGTGACGACACTTCGTAGGAAAATGTATTTTAACGCTCACGATGGAGGCAGCAATGTGGAAATACGCGCTCGAGCGACCCTTTCCTTTCCCGCGCCATTCGTTTTCTCCCGATCGCCTCATCCCGCGAGCCCTCTCGCCGAACACGCAGCAACGGAGTCTCCATCGACAACCCTACAGGCATAGATGCCCCGCGAACTACATAGTCGGGAGCTTCTTTCATATTTCTACGTGTAGATTTGCGGTACAGAGGCGTATTCCCGCGTCTTGGATCATCCTCATGTTTTATGCACACACGATGACAATTTTATGAGGCGGGCGCAGATTGTTAGGCACCCCCGGGAGATGAGTCGATCAACGATCGTTTGTCGATCTATTGATTACGTCAAATACTTTTGTTACCACCCATCGCTCAATCAGGGTTGAAGTCGGGCTGAATTAATGAAACAATAATGTTGTAATTCAATCTCAATGTTATTATATTTCCTTTCGGTCACTGATACATTTAGTCATTAAAATTTTGAGCTAAATAGACGTTATACATTTTATACGAATCCTGTAGTAGTAAAAACGTTTATTGCCTGTTTAATACCATACTCATCACGGTCTGTATGACTTCACTGACCGTGTTCAGTCCATCTTCGAGGATAGATCGCTGGTTGCTTCGCTGGCAGCAGAAGATTCGCTGGAGGAAGCAGCAGTGGTCGAAGAAGATTCAACTGGAATACCTTTTCTAGATGCTTCACTAGCAGTAGAAGATTCGCTGGAGGAAGCAGCAGTGGTCGAAGTAGATTCAACTGTAGTGCTTGAGCTGCCTTCGCTAGATGCAGCAGTGGTTGAAGAAGATTCGGTAGAGGAAGCAGCAGTGGTCGAAGAAGGTGGAACTGTAGTGCTTGTACTGCCTTCGTTAGATGCTTCACTGGCAGAAGAAGATTCGCTGGAGGAAGCAGCAGTGGTCGAAGAAGGTTCGGTAGTGGAAGTAACAGTGGTCTGAGTGGTAGGAGGGCGGGTTGGAAGTGGTGGAAACTTTGGAGTAGTTATGCTAGGGATGGTTGGACGTTGTGGAGTAGTAACGTTAGGGCGGGTTGGACGTGGGTGAGTAGCAGGGCTAGGGCGGGTTGGACATGGTCGAGTAGCAGGGCTAGGGCGGGTTGGACGTGGTCGAGTAGCAGGGCTAGGGCGGGTTGGACGTGGTCGAGTAGCAGGGCTAGGGCGGGTTGGACGTGGTCGAGTAGCAGGGGCAGGGCGGGTTGGACGTTGTGGAAGCTTTGGAGTAGTAAGGTTAGGACGGGTTGGACGTGGTCGAGTAGAAGGGCTAGGGCGGGTTGGACGTGTCGGAATTTCTGGAGAACGTGAAACATTTATACGATTTATAATACTTGGAATATTTGGTAGTTTTGGAATATTGATACTATTAGTATTGTTTCGGTTGTTTATACTACTTGGAATATTTGGTAGTTTTGGAATATTGATACTATTAGTATTGTTTCGGTTGTTTATAATACTTGGAATATTTGGTAGTTTTGGAATATTGATACTATTAGTATTGTTTCGGTTGTTTATAATACTTGGAATATTTGGTAGTTTTGGAATATTGGTACTATTAGTATTGTTTCGGTTGTTTATAATACTTGGAATACTTGGTAGTTTTGGAATACTTGGAATACTTGGACGATTCTCTTGTTTCGAATTATTTTCACGATTCCTTTCCTCTTGCCGTTTTTTCGATTCTTCTCTCTCTTTTTTGATTTTATCCGCCAGGTTAGAGCCACCGCCGATACTTATCTCGCCTCCTACTGAAATACCACCGCCTACACCTACAGACACACTACCGCCTGCACCTACAGACGCACTACCGCCTGCTTTTCCAGACGCGTCATTTTTTCCATTTGAACTGGCTGCTGCTTTAGTAGTCGGAGCTTGGGTAGTGGTAGTGGATGGGCGACTAGTTGGGCGACTTCTTTCTATCAGTGATTTGCCGGAGTCTAGTAACTATATGGAAAAGAACAGAAATATGAATTACAGAAATGAGGGAAATATGAATTACATATATTTAGCGAAACGACTAAGTTTATAATATAATTTATTCATGGTTTCGTGCAAGTGAAATGTTTAAAATCTATTTAATATAGATGTGAGATACCAAAACGAATTAAGTTCCTTCTTAGCGTGTATTTTTAATAGAAATATCGAATAGTATATCGAAAAAGATAAACGACTTACTGATCCCCCAAGACTTGGAAATTGAAAGCCTTGTGTGGCAGTAGCCACAAGAACTAGAATGCACAACACTGATGCTCGCATGGTTGGATAGGCACTGTTCGATCTACCCATGGGTACGCTAGATATTTATACTAATTTAATGAACAGCGGTCCATTTAATAACAAATGATAGTAAAAAATAATGAACGCGCATCTGTGTTCCCAGTTGCGTCGTAGAATGACATTTCAAAACAAATGATTTTGTCAAATGTTATATTCACTTCCGTAATCTATTGTTATGTTAAGAATTGGCAACTATCGTTGCACATGTAAACTGTTGTACATTTTCTAGAAGCCATTATGTCTTCCTCGAGGTACGTAACAACCAGTTGCGCATATGACGTGCATAAACATATTTTTTATCACAATGATAAGATGTTAAAGTGATTGCTTCATGATTTAAATAAGATAATTTGCGATGAATCGTGTTTCCTCTTTTTTCGATATTTTGGAAATTGAAATACTTTCGAGTAAATAGTAATTCGATAATCTGCAAGTTTCTATAGAAAGTATGCATATGTTTAGGACCCAAAGAAAGTAAATAGAATAAACATAATGTTTAATTTCTAATTGATGATCTGTCGAGTATCATGAATACGGTATGATTTCCAATTGAAATTCTTCTAGAAGTTGGACAGGAATTTTCGACCGACGAGATCGACATAGCAGTGGAATCTTCGACGAAACTGGAGGAATTTTCGCGAGGAAATGAACACGTGGCATCCCGCTTCGAAAAGTTTTCCTTCTAGGGACCTACCGATTCGTAAACGAAGACGGTATTTTACAGGTCACACAACGTTCGGCTCACGGCATACGACCTAAACAAAGTTGAGAGCTGCAATGCGTGTCGTCTGAGAAGAATTCCGTGAATGTTCACTGCGTTTGATTCCTGCAAAGATTCATTTCACTCCGTGGAAGGTTCTTGCCACGATTCCATTGCGGTATCCCACATGTTTCGCGGAATTTCGAGCGGAATGAAATGCTGCTGCGCCCAACTATTGGCCAAACTCTCAACTATTCCTCAGATCTTCGGCTCGCTAAAAGAGAGCTCGCCTAAGAGATGGAAGGAACGACGCAAGGACAAAGAAAGAAGGGCCTCCTTCTACCGAGACTTCGTCCTTGGAATTCAGCCAATTCGCGTAAGAGCTCCTCTGCTTTACCGCGAGCGAACTATTTTATCCGAGTGTTCGATGGAAACGAACAGGATCATGCCGGATCCGTGTCCTTTTGCGTCGGTATCGACGATATCGAGACACTTTATCTGATCTTTCAACGACGTATAATTATTCAGATTTCCAGTGAATAAGACTCTTATATTTATTACTCGGAATAAAACGTTCGTCTCTACTTAAAAATGTAATATGTATACAGTTATCGAAAGCTAAGCCAAACGAGACTTCCACGTGTTACCTTTAAAAATTACATCTCTCGCGATGGATCTGTCAGGAACACCCTTGCACGCACCCTTGCAGGGCCAAATAATATATACAGAACAAGCACCATGGGACACATAATCAGGAGAGCGAGGGAGGATATAGAGGGAGGAAGAAGGAGAGCACACAAAACGTATCCGAATCGTTGGGAGGCCTTAGGGATGATGCACGTGTTCGTTTACTTCACACCCTTTTCATCCGCCATCTCGCTCGGTGTTCCGCGACAATCGATGCCCGTCCTTTTCAGTATTTAATACGTTCTCGTCTGTCATCGACGGATTTGATAACGCATTGCAGCGCCTTACAGAGTGGCGTAGTAGGAGAAAGGGAGAAGAGCGACAAGAAAAGGGTTCGCCCGTATAAGGGCGCCTTTTGATTTATGTAGTCGCGTCTGTGAAACGACGGCGAACATCAATCATGGGTATGGAAGCGTCGACGGTGCAGGCCATCGAGCAGGCATATGCGAATCGTGGGACTCGAATCGACAGGTCAGATGAATGCGCGTAAAAACAGAGTTTTAGTGTCTCGATGATAGCACCCTTTTCTATTTCCGTTCCAACTTCGTACGAGCTGCGTTAGAAGTCATTATAAAATGCACCAAGTTTGTCCAGAAACGTCTGCTGTATAACTTGAAATGTTCGAGGAAATAAATTTCAATAAGATTTAGAAATTTTAGCAAGGTTACAGAAAATAAGAGACATATCAGTCTCGATAATTGTCCTCGTTATTTTCGCGCGAATTTTTCCCAGTGAAGTTTCCATCTTTCGGGTAATAGCCGACAAACGGCTAGGTCACTGATGATCGCGCCGCTGACGCACGTGCGTGATTGGCAGAAATTCATTTCGCGCGATTTACATACCACGGAAATTGCGTGTCTGCCGCACGTATAGCTCGAGACCCTTTGTTTGGATGGCAGCGTTTGTCATCGTGCTTTCGCGTAGGCGAGCTGTCGTCGCAGCGCAGACATAAGACTACTAACGGCGGATCTAAGGCCGGAATATTGGGCACAGATGCAAAGTGTCGCGATTGCTGACGGCTTTCTTAATTAATATGTTCAATGGTCAGACAATGGCCACGCCAGCCAATTTCTTCGCTGGATAGTAAAAGCATCCTTACGGTTTTGTGCAAAAACTTGTCGAACGGATGCTCGCCTTTCGAACGTGTCTTTCTATTGTCATGTAACTCGAGAGTCTTCGGGACAAGCCCGTCCATAGTATCACCGATACGTTCTAACAAGTTCTTATACAGCCCTATTGTGTCGCGGTCGAAGCTCTCTTGGAGAGTTGAACATTCTACGCCGCAAACACGGGATATTGTCGGCAATTGCGTCTGACCACATCGTGAAACCGAATTGTTTCGTATTAGCATAGTTCTATGGATTGCAAAATAGACTCTGCTCGATAACGCATTATCCTATATGCATATGTATCAAGATTAGACTTTTCTGTCGCCGTGTTGGTGTCATGTACGAATTCTAAGACTATAATACTCCACTTTGCAATCGATGGAACTTGCAGCACAGACGAGGTATACGAGTAGACTTTCACTTAATGTATTTTTGCAAAGCGTACAATAAAATCAGTAGACAAATGCAAAAAAATTTGATGCATTTAATTATTAAAAATTGTACGGTTGATGCAGTTTTCGAAATCGACTTTTGGCCGTCTTTTCGAGGGCAAATAGCCCGCCATGCGTCGCGTCGTGTTGGGAATGCAAATTAATCGGCAACGGAGTCGCAAGTAATCCATTTAGCAGGGGCCATCCTTCTCTAGCCGAAACTAAACAGTTGCCCTGTAATGAGATAGCTTCAGCCACAATACATCCTTCATCCAAGCGGAAGAGAAACAAGAGAATAGCATTATCGGGGGAAACGTACAGGCGATCTCGACCAAATCAATCGTTGCCGAACGTTGTATCGCTATCATCGTCAAAAGCGGCAGCGGGCGTAACCATGATCGCGTCGATCACCATGCGTTGGTGTCTATAGGCGAAAGCCCAGAGTCCAATTAGCCGAAGGAACGTGCCGGTTGTAATCCACGGGGCCACGGAAAAATCGTCACTCTCGATTTCCAAAACCCGCGATCAGACGCTGATCGAACGAAAATACTGTCTGGCATCGATCTTCGTCCAGCGGATTGGAACACCCGGCTGTTCCGTGCTTTCGCGCGCACGTACGTTGTACAGTCCTCGTGAATTTCCACGAAGCTCGATCAAGTGGATGCATGGTCCAACTCCGAGGATTTAGACGTGTGATCCTTGATGAAGAGGCTATTGAACCCAGGGCTCGAATCACCACACGAGGATCGGCCGCTCGAGTCGGTAGTGCTCCGTTAGATAGCTTACGAGGCAGTTACCAGGCCGTTACCATGTCGATGGTGCCACTTGTCTCGAGAGGCTGCAACCTGCTTCAACCTCGCTCGGACGAAGGACACGGTAGCGTTTATGCCTGGTTCATCAATCGCTCGAGTAACTTTGACATGACAGTAGCATTCACTAATAACCACCTTTGAACCACGCTGCCCTCGTGTACACTCTTACGATTGCCGATCAGAGACTCAAGAATTCGTCCCCTGCTAGTTTAGGGAAATTAGTAAAATTGTTAACGAAGTTGAGCTTCTTTGGTGTGTCAAAATGAGTCCCCTCTCGATAGTGGGGATGACTATCGTTCGCTTATCAGATCGAAAATGACACGCAGTGATCCAAGCATTGCTGTATTACGATACGGTTGGGACTCATCGAATTTCAAGATTAGAGACGAAAAGAACTCGTTCCATTGAGCGGCGTTCGCGTCGTATGTTTTATATTGAGATGCAAGAAAGTAATCGGAGGTTTATGGACGAAGGAACGAGGGCCAATAGGCGTGTAAGTGGAGACGATTGCTGCACTTCGTAGATAAAACAGACTAGAGTCTAGAGCAAGCTAGATGCAGTGGTCGGACCAACCTGGCGGTCCGAGACTGGAGAGCTCCTTAAATCACATGTAATCGTTTCCGACCACTCGCCGTCCGGACCCGCAGGATCAGACAGTGCCAGTTTAGACCAACGTGTAGGTAACCTCGTTCACCTTTTCGACCTTTTTCCACCGGAGTCAATGGAAACCATCTACAGCTCGTAGTTACTCCCAGAGATATATATTTCCGTTTAATTTGCTCCGAGTTTAATAAATCTGTGATCATATCAGGCCATCGAACTCGGTTCTTGCATTTATTTATTGGACTTTAACGGCAGGAAATGATTCTTTATAAAAAATTCATTTTGTATTCCCAAAAGAACAAGTTTATTACAAACGATGACAATTTTCCCAATTTTTAAACGGAGTAATAACGGAAAAATGATCCCTTTCCGAGTCCCTTTGGTAACTAGAACACGGCGCGGCGGTGCAGATTTTACGAGCTCGGAAACACGTGCCAGGTGTAGTGGAAGCACAGTGCGTTGGTTGCGCGATCGGTGTCATTTGCCTAGGAAATTACGGTCTTCTGTCACACTGACTAATCTAGTTCGTTACACGCGACAACGTAACTCTGTCACTGGCACCGCAGTTTGCTGTGCTTTTCGCTTCCATCTGCTCGGCGACCAACTTCGTTTAACTCATTTCCCTCTTTCCAGCCACCGCTCTTTGCGAAACGGTCGTCGTGCAACGCTAAATTCAGCTGCGTATCGATAACCGCGC